CTTGTCAAAGAAAGAACACATATCTATGCTTGATGGTTGAATTCTGAAAAGAAATGTAACAAGTAAATGTGATCACGCCACATAGCTTTGTATGATATTAGTGCCATTTAATAAAAGCTAGTTATTTTTTAGTACTAGATTCACTTTTAAAAAAAGCAGACGTCAAAGCGTGAGCATAAAGTAACACGCAGAAATACGACAGGACCGTGGTGTTTTTCTTATGTGATGAGAGGTATCATGAGATTATGACTACTTTAAAATGAATCTCTTGATATCACCTAGATAAGGTATACTATTGGGCCTTAGTTGACAAATCTGCGTCAACCACGAAATAGCGCAAAGTTTGGCAAAGAACTTTCGGGAACAGTTACGATATTCAAACGCTACAGCGATTGCCTTCACTGTGTTTGAGGATAAGGTGAATCTTAGACGACGACGATCGCAACGAGACAATGCGATTCGATGATGTTGATGTTGATGATGATGATGATGGTGATGGTGATGGTGATGATGATGTCAGTTTAACTAAGTACCAAGTAAATACTAAGCAACTATATGCAGCATGTTTTTTGTAGAGCACTTTGAGGTGATTTAACGCTCGTTTACGATGTCGCATGGCACTGCAGACAGTTGCTGTGTGAGGCGGTTAGCCTTCTTTATCACTCGCCTTAGAGCCATCTCCATCAGATTAAACTGCTCAATACTCTGTCCTGTCATTGTCACTCACACCTGCCTGTAGCACTTATTCCTCGATCACTTGCGAACCTTCATATTTTCTCAACGTTCTTAGATCGGGGAGGACCTAAACGCACACCGTGCAATAAGGTGTGAAGAGTTTGTGCTGTTTTTTCTACTCTGAGGTAGTTGAGATCTGCTTATCTTTTTTCAAATCTATTTTAAACCCTTTTTTATGGCGTTTGATGGACTCATAAATATGAAAACACCGTCTTAATCTTCCTGAGTGTTTTTGGATACTTGTAACAGCTCAAATCTCGGTCATTTACGAGATGTTTTTACGACATCTTTTAAAATGTCCGCCTTTCCTTCACTGGATGATTGCAAGATATACGCGGAAACGATTCATGTGCTTCGCAGTACACAGTTTTGTTTCATGCCCTATACTCATGTTCTTGATACATTGACTTGCCTTCGATCTCATTAGAGAACACTGGGAGAAATCCTCTTCATAGAGATTTAGTCCCTTTAAAAACTGGTACGTGATAAATTATGAAGCTCCCTTTATCTCGATATATTTTTCACAGCTTCCACCAAAACTCCTCTGGTGTTGCACTACGCTTGACAGCTGGCAGTCATAGTAATGATGTGCATAGCACGCAATAGTGATGCCTCTACCGGAGACAGGAACACCACCACTACCATCATCACCATGAAGGCTGTAGTAGAAGTCACTAGATGGTTGCCAATTATCAGCTCATACCATTTGGCTAGTTTTTATGACTGTTTTTCGCGACGGAAATGTGACTACGTGAGCTTCTTTGCCGACTCATCGAATTGTCCTTTGGTCATGAGGAGCGACGATGGCGGCCGTTTGCTGGGTGATAGCAGTGTGGACAGCAACTGTCTCCGTCGGTTGACGAATGGGACGACCCATCCGAAACACGTCTCAGTGGCATATTCCCTCTCCAGAGCGACTTTAATTGCCGTCATACATCTTTCCAAATCTCTCAATTCCAGAGACGTACACACTTTGTATATGTGAAACTCTTGCCCCACTTCTAATCACTAGTGATATCTGAGCCTCTAAAGTAGTTCTTTACTAGTCTAAGAAGGTAAGATGTAACTTCTACGATTACAAGAGATATCCGGCAGCAAGACGGCAATACCGTTAAATTTTATGCTTCGACGCTCTGACAAAAAGAGAGTCACAAAATTTAATAGTTACATGGGTCTGTTAAGGTTTTTTCTTCAGAGCACTTTTTTGTTAATAAAATCATCAAAGCATACGAAATAGGATAAATCATATATCGTTCTTAAAACACTTTTAAAAAGGTGGAGTCTAGCGAAGAAAGTCTTAGGAACCAGCCAAAAGAACTTGCTAACAACTTCTTTCTTATACATTTACATCAACACCTTAGATATGGTATTCACTGAATAGATCTTTAGGAAATCGGCCAAACTCGAAATACCACTGAGTTGTTGCTCCAAATGTTGTGAACCAAAGTAGAAGTGTGGGTGCGCAGAGATATTAAAGTGTGAAAGTAGTTAAGGTTATGATGCTGGAAATAGACTTCTTTGGCAAACAACTTTATGTTAGCCTAAGTTGAATTCCAACATTGAACTTACACTAGGCGACAATGATTCTTAGACACTGAGGAAAAACTTTGAGGGTTATCTTTCAATAGGATGTTCACCGAGCCTGTAAATCCGCAATGAGATCTTGGAGATCGTAGAAGCCTTTCAAAGGGAGCTTTCGAGAAATAGGTAGTATGCCAAATTATGTCATAAGAAATGAATTTGGTTTGTTTCAAATTTTGATATAACACTTATTCAATAGATAATATGTAATATGAATGCAAAACAATGATATCGTCATTATCATCCATAATTTCACTAGTTAGTAAGTAACTCGAACGGTTTCCAATAGTCCTATTGGTGTTATAGGGCTGGCCAATGGGCTCATTTTTCTCACGGGCTACGAACAGCACTACATTTCTGGTATGGTGTTCCGTATGTCCATTTTTCCTAACAAAGACGTAGGCATAAGTAATTCAACGGACTCTTCTGTAACACAAGTTTTTTCCTGCTTGAGCATCCTGGACAAAATTGTCTTTTTCTCAGCTTTGGTGACTCTAGCGGAGTGTTGAGTTCTCGTTGAGATATGATGCAGGAGAATTCTCCTACACACGATGAGCAGATGAAGGATATTTGCCATACTATGACACATTCAGGGCGCGTGTGGCGCAGTGACTAAAGACGCCCTGCGACACACGCACGTACACATATGGGATCGACCCCCGGGCCCATGGCTCACCAAGCCTTCAATCCTTCTGGGAGAAGAGCAGCACTGACCAGATATGCATTGAATCACCCCCTCCACCAATGCTTAATGAAGTCGAACACATAGCTCATCCCTCAGAGATTTATCAACGCCGAAAGCTTTTTAGCCTTTACTATGCCACATTGTACCACATTTTTTAAAAATTTCATGAATTATTGTTGTTTAGAAGACCCGTCATCGCAACTACTGTGCCGTTCCTAGCACTTCTAGCATTTTTTCATCGCATCCACAGTCCATAAAGCTCTTCGATTGTCCGGCGCGTCGTTTTGGTTGCTGTTTTTCGTCTTTTTTATAAATGTCGTAGATTGCTGGTCGAGTCGATTCACCTTGGAATCTTGGAGATAACCAAGCTAGGGCGTTCTCCCGTCGACTGCTGGAGAGCGTTGGGAAGGAGTCGAAACAGCACCTTGCTACCTGATGGACTGCATTGCTAGTCACTGTGCTGTCCTCGCATATTACACAATGCTTTAATTTTATTTTACCTTTGTAGAAAAAAACAAAATTAATTAATGAAGCATGTTTGAAATACTTACCTCGAAGCTAGGCGTATTGCCGCATTTCTAATCTTTTTTTGGACACCGTTATATCTCTACTTTTTCCCTATTTCCTCCCATTCTTTTATTGCATTGTACTGTATTATATTGCAAGAATAGAAGAGTGTGGAGCAATCTGCAGAGTTGTCCTCCAATTCAAATTTGGTAGTCGGTTTCGTCCTGCTCGCCAAGAAAGCCAAGCCTTTCATTTCTTCGGGTTCGGCAAACTTCCACTGGAGTTGTTTAGTATGGTAAAAATGGAGGTAATACATGCATAGACAAGCTACGTAAGCATTGAATCAGCTCTACGATGCTGCGAATGCGATTGAATGGATGGCTCATCACTCAGTAATTGATCAACGTTGAACACTTTATCTTTTACGCCCTATCTTTTTACGCGACTTTCCAAACTTAATCGTGAAGCAAGAACCGTTAGGAGATTTGGCTTTCAAAATCCGTCATAACGACTGAAGATTTCTCTCTTACTAAAGAGAAACTATCTTGAACTATCACTCCTCTCACTCTTCACACACAAAATGGTATTCGTAAAAAATATGTTTCAAACAGCCATCAGTCTGTGTACAGTAAGGGAGAAGAAGGAAGAATCCCTGAAACTGAGGCAGCAAGTAGCTATTTCGAATGGCTACGAAACTGTAGTTCATTGGGATAGGTGCGCACGAAAAGCCACGCTTCCAAACAAAAATTCTAGGGAGAATGAAGTTCCGTCTATCCTGCCTTTTGCTTCCAAAGTTTTTCCAAAAAAAAAAGCAGAAAAAAGTACACTTCCAAAGTGTAGTAATATATTGATATTATATTAATTAATAATAATGTTGGCAAAATAAAAAAAAAGATGAAACTCTCGGCGTTAGTCAGTCCCTGCGGACTGCGCCGTGCAATCGACTTCACTAAGCATCGCTACAGGTGACTGAATGCATATCTGGCCTTTACAATAACTCGCAGAGGTCCACCGATGTATCGAGCTAGCGCTGCTATCCTCCCAGACAAGTCTGGTACCAACTTTCCAACTCCGAAGGAATGGAGGGCTTGGCAGGCCATTTGTTAGGGGTCGATTCCACGTGTGTGTAGCAGGCACCTCCGACCACTGCACCACAAGCACCACATCACCTGTATCACCTGTAGTCTCGTTGAACTTCGAGTGACTCGAGCGGGGGCCAGTAAATCTTCCATTTTTCCCTGCCGCATGCAAGAGTAGCTCAGTGGGTTCTGCTGGCTCTAGAGACTCGTCGACCATCATACCTTTCTTCAAAGCTCTTTAAGAAGAACTCTGACCATCGGCTCGGTGGTCTTTCTGCTGTAGTTTGACATCCCGAGGAATCCAGTCACTAACGGCTCTTGTCCAACCGTTGTCGTTCATATGCATTAACGTATCCGGCCCACCTTATCTTCGACTGTTTGGCGCACAGAACGGCATCTTCGATTTTTGATCGTTAGCGCAGATCGGAGCTTCGGATCCCACCCCTTACTTGTATGGAACGGGATATTCCTTGCAACTTCCTTTCGACTGCGCATTCGATGACGCTGAGCAATCTTTCATCCTGCTTACACATCGACCAGGTTTTTGGCACATACGTTAGGGCAGGAAGCACCGTTGAGTCGAAAAGGTGGGCACGGAGTCGGGTGTTCTTTGTCCTCTTCACCACATCCTCGATGCTCTTGAAAGCTCCCCCGCCCGCTTGTTTCTTTCTGCTCAGCTTTGGAGCTAGGTCGTTCATCATATTGATTTCCCAACCTAAATAGATATAACTGGAGCATTCGGAGATATTCGCTCCTTTGAGCGTGATTGGGGCATACGAAACGAATCCGTTCCTCATGAACATCGTTTTTGTGAGATTTAGCTGAAGACGAATCTTTCCACAGACTTTATCAAAGTCGTCAAGCATACGTTCCGCTTGGCTAATGTTTGGTGTTATAAGGACGATGTCATCAGCAAGGCCAAGATCGCGTAACTATCAAGGGTTAAGCAGATTGGGAGACGGTTGCCGATGTCGTGCAGGTCACCCTTCTTGAACAACAATAAGGTCTTGCTGGCCTTTCACTGAGTAGGAACCTTGCATTCGGACAGGTAACGTGTGAAGAGCCGAGCCAGTGTGTTTACGAGGACTGGCGGAAAGTTTTTCAGGTGTTCTGGTCTTATCCCGTCCGGACCTGGTGCTGTTCGATTTTTCACCGACGAAGTGGTATATCGCATTTCGGAAGGGAGAACCGGCGGTACAACATATCCATCCTCCTTTATTTCATATGACGGGAGGTGGACACGCCTATCGAAGAGATCTGAGCAGTATTTGTGAATGATTTTTTCCATTGCCTTTCTGGACGCTGTAACTGTTCCGTCTGGGTGTTGGAGTGCAATCATCTTGTTGTTGTAATTGGCTAAGCTTCGGCGGGTTTTGTGAGTGCTTTTCCCAGCCTCTGCAGCTTCGGCTATTACTGCTGCTCTTCTCTCTCTAAGATTTTCTTTTATCGCTTCTCTGCATTGTTTGCAAGTTCGGAAGTTAGTTCGCGGTTGCCCGCAGCTCTTGCAATTCCATACTGGCATATCAGTTCGAGTGTTTCTGGGGACAGACGTCGCTTGGTGACTTTCGAATTCTCAGCTTTCATAGGAGTAACATGAAGATGTTGAATAAGCCGGTCGTATTCTTCGGCGATGTTATCGACAACGGTATCTTCTCAGCAGCCGACTGTTGAATTGAATAATTCCCACTTTATGATGGTTCTGGAATTTCGGTTTTTGAATTTATCGGCTTTTTCTCCTTTCCGCAAGGAATAGAATCGTGCACGAAGGAAACGGTGGTCTGGCCCCGTGTAGAATTTTGGGACAACAGCGACATCGGTTAGGCAAGATCTTCTATTAACTATGATGTGGTCTATTTCGTTATGGTATTCTCCACTGCGAGACTCCCACGTCCAACGCTGAGGGTGGGGCTTCTGGAATAGTGAGTTACCACGGATTGTCTTGGTCGCCGTGATGAACTCAGATAGCCGCTCACTCTGTTCGTTCCATTCTAATCCGTGGGTCCAAGTGTTTCGTTCTTCTTGGTCCAATCTCCAATCACGTACCACTTAATATTGATAATGTATAATTACAATGGTGATTAACAAAAGACAGCAATAATTATGATAATAATTAAAGTAACAATGATTAATAAAGTATTAATAGTAGATGGAGTCATAAAAGGTTGCTTACGAAGGCTCGATCTAGAGAATTGGGCAACACTAATTGAAACACCACCAAGCTCTCGAAGATGCCAACGAACAGCCTGTACGCCCATGTATATTTAACGCAAAATTGCAAAATTGGTGCTAACAGTTGAGACGGTGATTTCATGAGTTCGGATACGGTGTACCTCTTCTGTATCTTGTGAATCGGGGCGAATACACTGGCAAAGTGGGTAGAGACTCTGCGTTCGTATAATGAAACGCCTGGTCGCTGAACATAGAGACAAACCAGTTACTCCACTAGGATGCAGAGACAGAACGGAGAAAATTTTGAAGGAGAAGTGACTATTCTCGCACAAAAATCAAAACCACCAGCATGTAAACTCTTGAAGCGTTCTAGATAACTTCTAAATGTCCAAAAATGAAATACAACGAGGGGTGTCTTGTGACCACACTTTGACCTAGTCCCATACCTCAACCAGGTAAATTCCTCGTCCATTTAGTATACTGTGGCTGGCTCTACCAAATAACTGGAAGAGTGACAAGCAACAAACGGTTAGTGTTTAAAATAAGCTGCTTATAATGCGAATAGAAATTTATGTGTTAAGTTGATCTGCTGAGTTTATGAAAGTGTTTGACTAAGTGGATTGCGGGTCGATTTGACCATTCCAAGCTTTGAAAAAGCCGAAACCGTCAAACTCCAGTTTCTATGTATTAATAAGTGCTGCGAAAACAATGTCGTGGTTGCTAATCAAGAAAAATAGTGAATTATCTAAAACTTGATACTTGATGCTCGAACGGCCCGTCCTCATTGGTTGTGCGGGCCCCAGAATAATCAGCATTTTTCGGATATTTGCTGGTTAAGCCATTGCGGTTCCCTGGAGTCCCGAGATCAAACTAGCCAAAGTCTGCTCCAGGCATTCACCAGTACAGGCAGTCGCAGCCCTTGTGGATCAGAGAGAGATTTGCCACGGTGCGACTAGTTTGATATCAGGAGGTGGCGGATCCTGGTATTGGTTTACTCTTAGCCGGGCTTCCTGATAGAAACGCCGGACCCCTTCTCAGCTTGGGAAACCCTGCCGAGGAAACGAATCCCTGTACTGTACATCGCAGTCCGACACCCAGGAACACCTCCCAGCCACGATAGGGCGGTAAACCGTTAGGAGGATTATCTAAAACAATGTAGCGAAATTAGTAAAATTCACTTTTTTTTAACTGGTCATATTTCTGAAACTCCGCTAAGCTGTTTAACCATCATCAGCTAAACATGAGCAGGTATCATTGGAATTTAAAGGAAAACTGTGATTTCCTCTATAAGCCATCATTACCATGAAGCGGATAACACGGTGGCGGTGATGCCACTCATCATACGCGCGGTTTTGGTTCAATAGCACTTCGTGCTGACCAAGCCTGTCATCTTTTCAGGGTGCGGAAATTGGTACTGGACTTGTCTGGAAAACATCACTCTCTGCATCCCAATTAGGAACGCTCCACCCCGACTATCCCAGGACTCCAGAGAGAATCGACTCGACCAGCATTCTACGATACTGAAGATAAAAGGAAAATCCTCAAGCAGCAGTCGAAGTCACACGTAAAAGTTTGAAGACCTTAGTGGATGATGGATACGAGGAAACGAATCAAGTGTGAGAATTCCTGGAATCTCCACAGTCCATGTGAAAGACTGGTCGTACAAAAAAAGCTGCCACTACTCTATAATAGTTCCGTAATTGTTTCAATACATTTGTGGTTAGAACGAGCAACAAATCCACCAAACTATCGATAATTTAAGTGCCTTGTCTATTGGTTTCCTTTGATTCCACAAGTAGTTCTGCTCATCACCACTCTTATAGTCTGGTCCATCAGTACCATCCGATATTCTATGTGATTGCAATTCAGTGAGTCAGTTTAGTTTTTTTCAGAGCTGAAGCGACATGTCAGAAGCAGGACCATACGCGTCCCTGCATAATTGTCGACACAACGATTTTCAGAAGGTACTGTACCATTAGTATAACTAATTTGAAAGAACATAATATGAGAAGCTTTTTCCTATTTTATAGGCCATAATGTTAAACTCTATTGCTCTACTGGACAGTTGGACGAAATTTGCTTCAGCTTCTAATCAGGTAGATATCTGATATGACCTTTAACAAATATTCGCTCTATCACGGATGGCTAGGTCACTTGTGCTATCTGCGATTTAAATCTAGGACCACTGAATAAGTACTAGTGTTAAAAAATAGCAAAGTTTTAAATTCCACAAATACTGTTGACGGGTGATTGCTGCTAGCAGCTATGGGTAAAAACACGGCTGAGAGGAAAAGTGGAACGAAGGATGCACATGGTGTGGTGGCGAACGCGTTAGCCAGGGAAGGCGTAATAGCATATTCGATCCCTACCGCCGACACCTACGGTAAATAAAAAGTGATCACTTAGTAAAGTTTTAATTTACATTTGGCGGTTATGATTAGTACAAACTCGAAACAATGGATAAACAAGAATCTTTTGATGCTCCGCCTTACATTAGACGACCTGGTACATTTAAAATCGTATGAAAAAATTTCGTTAAATCTTCTTCACACGGCAATCCTCAACAGCACCTTTTGTTTTACTAATTTCTAACTTTTTTACCCGTTTATCTGCGCCTTCACTTTTTGCCGCAGTTTTAAGTGGTTAGCACTCCGATTCACCTGCTATCGAGCAGACACTGATGCACTAGTCTCTTATCCATTATCATTGTTCTTTATTGGGATACTGAACGAACTTGACAATGGTTTCGCCCGCTTGCATAATGAACATTGTTTTGAAGAATTCGTTTAACTAGAAGGAAACTGAAGTAGAAGAAGTGAACGCTGAGTTAGGTGTTTCTTGTATTCCGGCTCCGTGCTTCACCTCAGCTCCAAATTCCCTGACACTATTCATTTATTCCCGTCCACAATAAGTTATAAACCGCTAGCAATTCAACTTTTCGGTTGATGGGGATAGCGCAGTGGATAGTGATGCAGTCCTGAAGCGGTCCACCGGGAAGGAAGCTGATAGTTCGACCACCTATCCAGCACTGCTCCCCATTCCGCATGGAAATGCCTTAGCTCAGCTATTTCCAAGATAACAAGAAGAATTTTTTAGACCAGTATCCTACAACATTCATAAGATAGGCGAAACGCTCAGGTAGTAGTCAAACAACATATGAAATATTCGAAGGCCTTTGGCGACGACGAATGCGAGGGGAACGATTTGAGTGCCTGAAGTGCTGGGATTAGGAGAGATGAGTCTGTGAAATAAAATAATGGATAAAATTTCACTTTCTAATCAAGGTTGATATAGAGTATCAACAAAGTCTTTTCATTGTCTGCCAACATGATAAAAGGATAAAGGGTAAAGCTCTTGGTGTTGATCAGTTCCTGAGGTATGCGCTATGTATTCGCCTTCACCAAGGATCGTTAGAGGTGACTGATTGCATATCTAGCCGACACAGTGATTCGCGTTCGAATAGCGATGTATCGAGTCAATGTTGCTATCTTTCCAGGCAAGTCTGGTATCAATGTACCAACCAAGGTGGCATGGAAGGCTTGGTGAGCCTGAAGCATGGAGATCGATCCCTTGTGTATTACAGGGCTCCTCTAACCACTGCGCTACACGTGCCACATTTTCAACATTATACTTACTTGGATACCTGGATGGTTGGTCACACTAGTTGTGTGGGCCCAGCATAATTTCCATTCTTCGGAAATTTGCTGGTTTAGCCATTGTGATTCCTTGCGATCCCGACGACAACTTGGCCAAAGTCTGCTCCAGGTCGCCACCACCACGGGCCCTTGTGGATCAAAAGGAGATTTGCCACCAAGTGCTTAGTTTGATATTAGGGCGGTGGTGAGTCTTAGTATTGGTTTACTTTTGGCTGGGTTTTCTAATGAAAATGTTGGACTCCTTCTTAGCTCAAGAAGCACTGCTGGGGGATGAATCCCTCCGCTGTAGATCACAGCCGGCACCTAGGAACACCTCGATGAGGCGGTAAACCGTTGGGAGGATCAACATTATATCAGATACAAATCTGTTCTTTATGGTCGCCGTCTTCGTACGATTCGACATAACACGTTTCATCTAACCACAGCTAAGATTAGACAGGAATGAAACATGGAATAGTCGACACACTCTCTCTTGCGCAAACTCGACCTGCGATGTACATCTACTGTGTGATCAAACTTTTTACTGTAGGTTCGGTGGCAGCTTGTCGATTTGCATATTACCTTAAATGTCGTAGAATTCTGGTGGAGTCGACTCTTCGTAGAATTCTAGGATACCCGTCTTAGAACATCGCCAAACGGATTGGAGGAACCGATCAGAACCCACCAACTTCATGATTCCGTAAGGATGAGACTTGGTTGCCCTACGCGTGGCCCAACCATAGCAAAGGTAGGTTGGCTCATCCATCCAGTGGACTGCATCAGTATAACAGCACTGCCCACTATATAAAAGTACAAGTTACATAGCGAACTTTTGCTGATTTTTCTAGCTTCATAGATTCAACATGAGAATTCTCATGGTTTATGGAATGAGTTCTATGCTTGACTTGGAAAAGGATTCTTCTCCGTAACAGAGTTATTATTACTTCAATTTTAGATTTCATCCATACCCATCTTACCTCACAGCTCACATACTCGGCCACTTGCTACCTAAATACACGGATGGCCCGTCTTCACTGATGGTATGAGCCCCAGGAAAATTTCCATTCGCTTTTCTCTCGCACTAGCGTCGCTTATAGTGGTGGTAGTTTCGAAGATGGCACGTCCGCGAGACCCATTTCTACCTTTGGATAAAATTAGTTTTTAGTTCCCATCTGTGATTGTAGATGGCTTTCGCTATCTGCGTCGTCCTTATCTGGGTGGTCTTCCAAGAGGACACTTGCATTTTGTTGGATTCGACTACACTATTCATTTCGTCCAACCGTCATCTGTCTCACTTATTATGTGGCTGACTGATTTGTTTTTCGCTATTGGTGTCTATTCTCTTTTAAAAAACACATTACAGTTAGATGTTGTAGGTACCAGTTAATATTCTGAAGACCGTTCCAGTACTCTTTCTGTGTTGGGCAGATTTCTCTACGTGGATGAATTATCAATACAGGTCTCTGCAGCATAACAGAGCGCTGGAGGGACTGTTGAGTATAAAAAGTGAAGGCAAATTTTCGAGTTTTTTAGATAATCGGTGGTTTCTTTGAAAAGTCCGAATGAGCTCATACTGCTCACTTTCTTCTGTCTAACTCCTCCTTCGTGTTGTTCTCTTTGTTAATTAGACGTCCAAGATATGGTATACGTGTGAGATAGTTACTTGATACTTGATTGGCCCGTTCTCATTGGTTGTGCGGGCCCCAGCATAATCACTATTTTTAGGCGACTTGCTGGTCAAGCCATTGTGGTAATCCCGAGGTCAGCCTAGCCAAAGTCTGCCCAAGGTCTTCACCACCACGGGCAGTCGCAGCCCTTGTGGATCAGAGGGAGATTTGTCATCATGCGACTGTGTTACCAGTGCTGGAGTGGATCCTGGTATTGGTATGCGAGAATTGGTATTGGTATACGTACGAGCTATTTTCTGCAATCAGAGAACCATGGATTCATGAACTGGTCTCTCGTCTTATTGATGCGCAGCCCCACCTTCCTTCCTACTTCATTAATTTCATTGAGCTTCGTCTCTATTTCGTTGATTCTTCTTGAGATAACGAATACGAATAGAAAAATAAGAATACTTCGACGAAGCAAAAATTTGGTAGGAATTTTGCAAAAGTAATCTAGATATCCTTCTTGTCTCAACGCAGTGACATTATGATCCACTACGGTGCGTTCGTAAACAGCCTTTGCGATATAGTGCCTTGTTGAACCCCTTTTTCTATAGGTATGGTGAGGGGTCGATGAAAAAGCTGTATATTTACTTTGCAGTTCGTATAATAGTCTGCTAGTGTTCATATATAGAACGGATTCACTTTTTGCTCGACAAGAGCTAATAAGATTTTATTCGTTTCGACGCTGTCAAACGTTTCCTTATAGTTGATAAAGGTTAGGGCAGTGGAAAGGTGGGACCCCTACAGTCTTCTTGTGACCCGCGACACGGTTTGGATGTGGTCCATGCAGTAGAATACTTGTCGGAATCGTGCTTGCTCAACTGGTTGTACCTCATCCTAGGTCTTTGACACGCGTAAAAGTATAGCATTCGTGAACGACTTATTGAGTAAACTCCATATTGGTCAGTAGTTATGAAGATCCCTTGCGTCACCCTTTTAGGGTAAAATTGCAGTACAGGAGGATGCTCACCAGTATGGTATTTTCTCTTTCTCAAGGTAAGATGCCGCGTCATTTGCGAGAAACACATATGATTTGAGGCCTCCAACACAATGGAAATCGGCGATAATATTGCCAGCTCCTGGAATTGTGAGAGTACAACCACGAAGGATTCTTCACCAGAAGGATTTCGGGGTCCCAGGCGGGGTTTGTGGAGCCGAAAAGGTTGTTATAGAACGTCTCCATCGTCAATTCCATACCATGGCGTGTGTAGTGTTAGTCCCACCTTCAGTAGAATACTGGCTGATGTTTCAGCGGTTTCGCTTTCTCCAGCACCGTTTCGTTTTTCACAAGCCCTTCAGTTGTGATTTTGGTGTAGCTGTAATAGATAGAGTTATATTTTCGTTTATCAAGGCAAATAGTGGAACATTATAGTTGCAAAATCCCGATGCCACTTATTCAGACTTGTCATTTTTGAGCTGCTTCCTATAACTTTTCGTGCCTATACCAATGTAAATCCTCCTGCAAGGATCTCCTACAGGTGGCATTTCCTACCAACCGTGTTAGATGTGCTGTAGAACGACGAAGCTTTAGTTTTTTTTCCCTTTTCGAACAACTTTTTGGTGGCGGTGGAGAAACGGTTTGAACTTCTTGTTAGAGCAAGTGGCAGTAGTTTGGCACAGGTTTCAACTTCTTCGGTAGGTAGGGTGTAGTCCTCGGTCTGGTATTCATTTATTCGCCAAGCATAAGAAGAAAAGATTTTATTCAAAACATCCTTCGGCTTACACGACTTATATCGTATTTCACGAACGATGACATGAATTCTTTTCCAGATTATGGCTGAATCAAACGTTCGCACGGAGAAGGCAGTGGTTAGGTCCAGTACAGAACCCGGGTACCACTGAGGTGTCAAAGATGCACTAATTTCTGTTCGTTTAATATGATCGATCTCGGCATGAGTCGCACTGTTAGAACACTACCGTGTCCATCAGCAACATTGTCTCCTATCGGCGATTTTCTCTCCTTTCGAAAAATGAATCTCCATGGAAGAGACGTTCTGTTGACAGAAAGGAGAAAAAGACGGTCTCCATTCTCATTTCGTTGTCCTATTCCTAATTTCCTTGTTCTGTATCCAATCTCGTTGGCTATTTTTAATCTGGCATTAAATTCTTCAACAACGGTTTTATAGAACTTCTCCTTGCGGATTACTTCCTCCAACTGCTTACAAAACACGTTCAATTCACTCTCATCGGCTGTACAAAATGAGGATTGGACTTCGTATGATGTGATTAGCTGAAAAATAGACAACTGTGCTACAAAGCCAACGTCTTCGACATAAAGTAACAGAGATCTTCCTTCACGAACGACAGGAGTTCCGTCATCTGATTGGTGTATGTCGATCTTCCTATTTTTTCCTCTTGCAGAGCGATCACACTTGCTTCGGATCCACATGCTAAAGGCCTGGATGAGACCTGAATAAGCCTGGCAAGGTTGAGTTAAGACTCCAGGGAAGATCAAATTCCTCAACTAGCAAGAGGAAAGCCTCAGTACCTGGTAGACTTAATGCTCCATCCTATGACGTCAGAAGATGATACAACCGGTGACAACTCGCAAGAACTCGAGTTACTCAGGACGTCAAAAAAAAGGAATTGACGAACAAATGCACGACACGCCGTGGAAATTGTTTCTGACTCTGCACTTATAGTCCCAGAACACTGTCCATAGGCGCCATCTTCACGCCCTTCTTGTAGCCGCAGATCGAATCAAATTTCATGTGACCGCACCACATTAAACAACGGGACACTTGTCATTCGTGGAGAAAAGGTCCTGTCACGAAATGTCGGTGGCGTAAGCTTCGTCATCCACCTAACCATTGTCCATTTAGTCGATTCATGCGAGAACCTCTCTCCTCGCATGACGGTTCTCCGTCTTCCACAGGCGTATCTTAAGAAGATCGTAATCATCAATTGCTACTAACCGACCAATACAGCTGATGATTACGAATTAGATGTGTTCTATTATCAGTTGGAACAAGTTGTCCGGATTGATAAAGCGTGTTATAAATTTATTGTTGGATAATACAAAAGTGGAAATTTTGGAATAGAAGCAAGAAATGGAAATGAAAACCGCCTTGCAGGATTCTTGTCTGCAGCGCATCTCTTCCATGGAAATTCGTTGTCTCAGAAGAAAGAAAGTCGGTGCTGGACATGGAAACTTCCAAGCGCCACGACTTATGCAGAGATTGACAATACTTAATTACGTGATACTTGAACGGCCTGTTATCACTAGCTGTGTGGGCCCCAGAATAATCACCATTTTCGGAGATTTTCTGGTTAAACCATCGTTGTTCCCTAGGATCCCACAGGACAGCCTGGCCAAAGTCTGCCCCAGGTCGTCACCACGACATGCAGTCGCATCCCTTATGGATCAGAGGGGATTTACCACCATGCTACTTTCATACCAAGACGGTGGTGGATCCCGGTATTGGAGGTCGACAATATTCTGACAAATAGGAGATGGTGCCTACTTGACACATACATCAGTAATCCTATCATTCTATACTGGTAGCGATCACCCCCTAGTTCGAAGATTCGATTCAGCCATAAGCTGGAGAACATTTAATGTTGTCTACGACGAAAAAAAAAGTTTTGTTCCATATGACGAAAACATTCTAAACGAAGACCTATCAAAACGTAATTGGCAGACGAAGGAGTACCCGACCGAAAGTACAAGCTGCTTGTCAAAAGATTGAAAAGTTGTGCTGAATTTGCTTCATTCTTGTTGTTCCTCAAGCAAGAAGATCGAATCGCATCGCCATTACCACTAACGAGTTGCTCGATGAAAGAAGGGAACTGAAGCTAATACGTTTGACACGGATGGTAATAAATGCCAGGTGCAGGAGAGCTTTGTGGCAAGATCTGCATCGGTATACACGAAAAAACTACTGGAAACAACAAAAAACCAGTTTGGAAAATTGTCTCCCGACTTGTGCGCTAATGTTCCGCTGTCAGTGCTGATGAACAAAGATGGGATCACCAAGACTTTTCGCCATGATATGGAATCGGTAACGGAAACGTCTTGCACCAACGTTTTCCGTTTTACCATCCAGTCGCAAACATTAAAATCCCTGCTAGAGAAAAGCCACTTGGAATACCTCAGTCCGAGATTCGAATTGCGATAGAAAGCATGAAAAGAGCTACAACTCCAGCACCATATAATACAACCGAGAACTTTCTTAGAGCCGGAAGTTACAGTTTAAACAAAGCCACGTGTAATTTTCCCAGACCGCAGGACATTCTGCTTTCAAAAGGAAAACACTCCAAACTAGTGGAGGACCTCCCGCACAGTCATCCCACCCTGAAAGGGTAATACAAGAGATCTTTATAACTGCTGTCCAATATGTGTGTTGAGTGTGCTCTACAAGCTGTTCACAAAGACTATCCTGTCGCCCATATCAAGAAGATTGGATGAGGAGCAACCAGTAAAGCCAGCAGGCTTTCGAAAGGAATTTTGCTGCATGGACCACATCCATGTTGTGCCAGGGATGGTTCTTTGATTGCATTGACTACCTTGGACCATCAACCAACATAGACAACAACATGAAGGAGGAACTAGACAAAGCAAAGAAAGCACCTTAGGCCTCATTCATGTCTCCCAAAAAAGCCGCCGAGCAACACAAGGACCCAAAAATTCGCGCTCAAGTTTTCGGTCCACCTCGTCCTAGCGCTGTGATTTGCTGCAGAGACGTCGAGCGATACTTCAAACACGTCAGGAATATTGCAGATTACGCACTGTGTGCTTAAAAGATGTCTTCTAAGATATAACCGGCACATAGTACATTTTATCGGATTGCAAAGTTTTGATTTTCGAAGTCTTCCTAATCTTCGAGTTCCAAGAGAACTCACATCGACAGCGAAACAGAGACGAACTTGCCACATAACTGAAAAATAGCCGACAGATGGACGAAAAAACTGTAGAGTGGACTCCACGAGAATGCAAACGTCTCTTAGAACAGCCACCCACACGTTGGGCGGACTTGTTCGTAAATAAAAAAGTTAATCAGCTGTACCTGCAGCTGCAGTTATTTTACAGATCACGGTAGGAAAATCGTACCTGCCACCACTCCCGACTAAAGCCACCACCATGGACGACGACTGCGATAGAAAGGAACGAATGGCAAATGTACTGACGTCCGCACAACTCGTGAAGATGGACCGCCCAAGTGCTGAAGAAAGTAAGTAGGGGTGATGTGGAATTTATTGCGATAAGCTGCCTCAAGAAGAGCGTAAAGGTCGACGTCTGAAGAGATTATTCTGCCGTTATAGGTTGAGAGCAAGAAACAGTCTCCATGGCGCGTCGAGGGTATGAATGTTTTCCTCATTTCCATTGACGACCTGTGCAACGCGAGATTTCATCACTTCTTACCTACTGGCTCACTGTCCGACGCCGTAGACCGGAGTGTCCAGTGTGCGGAGTACTGAGGCGGGAATTTTGCTGGTCTAGCAATGGTAATTCACCGGATCCCCGACATTAGCCTTGACAAGTTCAGATCGTCACCACCTAAGGCAGTTGCCGGATCTTGTGAATCAAAAGAAGATTTTCCACAGCGCGACTAGTTTGATACCAGGACAGTGCTGATTTCTAGTATCGGTAGCTGTGCTTCCGATTGGAAACGTCGGTCTCCTTTTGAGCTTGAGAAGCCCTGCTGGATGCTTAAATATTCCGCTGTACATCGCAGTTCAGTATCCAAGAACAACTCTCAGCCACGGTGAGGCGGTAAACCCTTGGATGGTTGCCTCCGTAGGAGTATTATGATTCCACCTCATGACCGCGAAGGAATCGTGGTGGCTTTTTCTGTGAAAATTTGAATACAAGAAGAATTCCAGTTCTCCGATTTGGTCCACTTGTTGAGTGTCGGTTGTTGTACTGAGCAGGTCGCAATGCCTTGAAAGATGTGGATCGTGCTTATTGCGCAAAAACGGCGTAAACACGATTCATAACAGCAATCTCGTTGCCATTCATTTCAATATTATATGGCATTCTTCGAGTTCTTCGACTTTCAAATTCGGTTAGGGTGTGCAGAAGCTGTTTTTATGAATAACCACAGTTTTTCTGTAACTACTATAACCACTTTGAAGTGGATGTATTTCTATCAAAGCGTTCCTTTGTTCATCAGCGGTGGCGACGGATTGTTGCGTATTCTTCTGGTTTTCACCGTTTTTAGCTCCACTAAGTAATTTTTGGAACAAATTTTATGGAATGTAGGCATGTAATGGCCAACTGCAGAAGGAGAAGTGGTTTCCACTACTTCACACCTAAATTCGTTTTCGTTGAAAAGAATTACTCGAGTTGGCTTTATTTTCATGCTTTTTAATTTCTCTAAATTTAGCGCGAATTAAAATAGCACATCGATTGAAGAATGTAGAGCAAAATCAGCTCTCCAAAATGGTACACAATACAAATGTAAAAAATCTAATCCTTTATTCGAAGTGAAAGAAAAGAAAGCGAGAGGGAACAATTTAAAGCTAAAAAACAATCCATGGCAAAAAATCATGGCAGATTATCCAGCACACCATTTGAACACGGCGTCCCAGGAGCTTAAATTCATAGAGAGCGTGTGAGAACCAACGAAATATAATCGTTTACGATAATGAAAATTGTGCCAATAACGCCTACTCTTCATCTTCAGGCCGTTTGCCAGACATCCGGAGTAGTACGGAGTGCTAGCTGTCCACCGCCAACTTATGTCTACAGCGGTAGTCAAGAGAGCACTTCTCATGACACCGCTACTCAAGCCGCTAAGGAAGCCGTCTTCAACATGCTCTACCAGTATCAGGTAATTTCTAGTTTCTTGCTTTTGTAACATTCATTGTAATCTTGGCGAGCTGTACCTTCGCTTTAAAGAAGATCTTGGAAGTTTCCATCTATATAGTGTTTTCTTAACATGGCTGGAATTTAACCAAAGATTTGGGAATTAGTGACGGATTTCGGCTCAGCGCTAAGAAATAACTTTGTCAAACAATGCCTATTTTCCAAAGCGCTTGACTTTCATTCGGCTTAATCGGGTCGAATAAAAGTTTTTATACCACTTTCGTGTGTGCTCAAAGAAATAGAACAAGAGAGGAAATTATTAATTGTTGCCGAGGTTTAACCAAATTCGATTTTAAAGTTATTGACCTCATCCAGTGGTTTTCCGTTCCTCGGAAGTAATTGAAATCAAAACATCTATGTACCAAACGAGTTCGACGAGATCCTTTGGCAATTCTATCATCATTTTTAGAATTACACATATTCGAAACACTGTTAACTAGTAGTTTATACTGCAGGACGCTTCTAACCCCTGCACTACGTTTACCCTAAAAGTAAAACAAATACAAATTTCAGTAATAATAGCTTATAGGTCTAATAGTAGCTCTGGTGGAAAATGACCTTCAAAACCGTAACAGCTCGGATTTTATAACATATAGAACATCTCGAAACAAAGCAAATGCTTCATGACATAAAGTGAGTGGATTCTCCATTACGGAGGATGGCATCTGATCCACCTTATCTTTAGGCCAACCTTAACCATTTTCTTTTTCGAGGGCAAAACCCATTTCAAATAGGTTTTTTCAAGAACTAGCTCTTCTCACCGCTGGTTTACCTAATTTGGATTCATAAAAGATTGATTCATTGTGAGCATAATTGGAATCTTTAGGCTATCCCAGTTAAAGCAAAGATTCTGTCGGACTGTATATTATCAACTTTGGACGAGAGTGAAGTCACAAATCTTCTCGATAGTGCAGGATGGTCTCGCAGCGATTATTTGAGAGGGTATCGAACGATGGTGAGCGTAACCACTTTGTGTATTCCTCCTCGAAGAGAACTTATTGGATGAAACAATTGACTCTACGAGGTTCCCAAACCAATTTTCTGAAGTATATCTGTCAGCTGAAGTTTGGTAGAGTCACTAGCATGGGTAAATAATGTTAAGCACAGGAAAGAAAGTTGGAGTGGATGGAAAGAGAGTGAAGATTTTTTATGAACTTTGAAGGAAATAAAGAAGAGAAAATTCTACCGTCTCAATGAAATATTTTCTATTTTTTTTCTTGACGTCAACAATTATAAGGGCTGGCACTAATTTTATACAGGTCAGGACCTTCTAGAACATTCCATCAAGCTTTCGCAGAATTGATGTTGATTACATAGAATGACCACTAGGTACTATAAGTTGGAAAAATTAAACTAGGTACATCGTTAAGACTTTGATTTATTTCCCATTTTTTCATGGTAGGGTATACTGTGAACAATGACCACAACTTGGGCTTCGAACACTATTACCTCACCGGGGGCTCACGTGTTATCCACTGCAACAAACGATACCCTTTTTCTCCTTTCTCTCAGCTACGTTTGGAAGTTTTCCTTAAATAAAAATGAAAACATTATGATTTCGGCCGCAGCTTCAGCCTTACCGAGTCTAATGCCGGTTTTGCCTCCCCAGAGAAACGTGTTTGTTAAGTCATTACTGTTAGCACGTTAAGGTGAAAATTTGGCTGAGAGAAAAGCACAGCGCAGGCCTCGGTTGGTGTAGTGCATAATTCATGAACTCCCAGAAGTGATAATCGTGGGTTCGAAGCGCACGTGATTTTCCGAACTTTGCTAATATCTCAGCACTCTTGTGATTTCAAATAGCCATGTTATATGACAGGTGTGGAACTTTTTCCTATTTCTTCCCTCCTAAATTGCATAAGTTGCACATTGATCGGTTTTTTAGGGAGAATCTCTTTGATCGAAACACCAGTTTTAACTTATTATTTACTACCTGCTTTTTTTAATGGCAGAGTATGTTGCGAAATATAACTTCAATGATGCTGAGATATTTGCAAAACTCCGGACCACAGGTGTATGCAGTGGGAAACGAACGCGCTATTGTCCTTTCCGAGGAGTAACGCGTTCACCACCACACCATGCGGGTCTTCCGTTTCGCTTGTCACCCATCTAGTTCTTGCCATCAGCAAACTACGAAGCATCAGTTTTCGAGGTTTTGCGAATCAATAGCGTATCTCTACAAGAACCTATGATAATCTGTTCAATAACATGTAGTATTCATACTTCTCTGTAGCGAAGCAAGGTTTGTTGGCGATAATGAGGTGCCTTTGTTTTCATATTTTCAAAATAAAATTTACATCTAAATTTTAAAATACTAGTGAATTCCTTTCATGACGTCATTACGACATTATTTTGTGTGTATTGAAAATTATTTTATCTGTATTGCAACAGATAGCAGTGAAACATGATGTGATGTATCCATTGAATTTTGGAACATTCCAATGATCTGCTGCAAAATCGCTGTTGTTTTCTTTTTTTTGTTGTACCGTAGTACACCAGACACCAATTCGTCTAGCCAAACACCTGAAGTCTACTTTCTCTTTCTTCTGCTTTCCTTCCTTTTTCCCTATTTTTGGAAAAGATACAGAGAAGAATTCTCATTTACACATCTTTCCTAAAGCCTTATATTAGAGTCATATACTTTTCATAAATATGATTCGGGGATATCAAATACGTCAATGGTACAAAGCTATCGGATGGGATGTTGTATTTTCAACCAAAGCTTGGCATTAGACAGAAATCTTGGGCTCTGCTTTTTCACTGTCAGGTTAGGTGGACATGAGAGATCTCTTTGACTATTCTTTGATAACCTATATGGTTAAAAAGAGGTCCTTCGAGAAGCACAGCGTTCCCTACTTGGTGTATCTGGCTTTGCAGAAAGCTTGATGTGAACGCTGTACGACCCCGTTGTTGGTGAAGCTTGCTGTCATCGAGTCGGCCGTTATACGATAGATGACGACAAGTCGCCCGATGCATTCCGTCGAACAGCTCCCGAGGGAATCCACTGTTAGCACTACGACATAATTATATGTGGTCATCTGTGCAACAAAACTCTAAACACTGAAGAAAAAGAAATATCGGTGTTCATGTTTCCGATGGTTTTCGCGAAGACGCTCCAATATTTGTGAATTCGTCTGTTATGTTGTCAGGCCGAAAGCGCAGAGTCGGTGTTCACAAATGAACGACGGGCAGCTATCCATAAGCAAACTCGATACTTTGTCCTTCATTAACTGACCCGCTGTAGAAAAACTTGGCAGCATGGAGAACTTCGTTGGATTGGTTGGTGACGCATTGCCGGTTCTTATTTCATCGCTTTACTCGCCTACAAATCCTGGGTCTGGGTCAATGACATTGGTAAATTGGTACCAGGTCTACCTGGTGAAAGGAAGGTCTTTCCGATCCACAAAATCCTGAGAATTCCTGCCGTAAGGGCCAAGTAACACTTTGGCAGAGGTGTACTAGAATTCCAGGAAAGACCAATTCGACCAGTATTCAGCGACATTTATGAAGTAAACAAGGTTCTTAAGTAACAGCAAATCCCAAACCCGAATTCGAACAGCTTTGTGGATGCCGTATGTCAAAAAGCGAATGGAATAAATGAAGTGTTGGATTAGCACACTGTAAAGGTAGGTAATATAAAAAGATCGTAAGTAAGCAAGTAAATGAAAGAAAATTCGGCACTTTGCATTTATAGTGATCACCTAGCTATCGATAGCCTCTAGTGGTAGTGTTGGATAAGTACGAAGAAGAAGGAATATGAAGAATCTTTGGAGAATATCCACCAAAGCCCTGGATGGTTTTCGAGGCACAGTGAAAGCTGACTACAACTGACGTCGAATTTATAGAAACATGTCAACTTTTCCATAAATTGTCACTAGAACTGAATAGCCAATGCAATCCCGTGGGCGTTGTTTTCACTGGTCTATGATTAATGTGTAAAATCGTTTCGTCCGTTTTGCATTCCAACATATCGTCGTGAAATCTTTATGTTTTGAATGCAAGCAAAACAAAAAGGCTTTTGGAATATTAGGCTTGGAATGACGTACACCTTCAACTCTCATTGTGACCGAGTGGGATAAAGCCTTTCTAAGTTTAGAGTCATGTAGTTACGTTTGTGAATTGAACTAAAACCCAGCGCTGTTTGCATTACTGTTGCATCATTTACATCTTTTAGAACAAAAACTTTCCTTTGAGAACCATAGGTAGGTGTAAAATGCTCAGAGAATACTGTGGTTCGTGATTCTTCCCAATAATCGCCAGAAACTTGAACTTCTAAGATTATTTAAGATTTTGTAAACTTATGACCTTCTCAAAGCATACATTTATAGTGGATTTTTCTTACCGCTTGAAGAATCGGTCTTCTCAGGTTTTTCCCTCTCATAATACGCCTTGGTACGTCATGTGATTTGAAACAAAGAAGCTATAAAATTCTGTTCAGGTCTTGATATCTTGTAGTTGGAAATAAAAAAACCCATCAGTTAGATGCGGAACCAACCAAACATGCTGAAGTTTTCTTATATTTTTTTTTACAAACTTTTGTGAAACCTCCGATTCTATGAACGATGTCTTTTCCTGAAACTGGTAGTAAACAACATGCTGATCATCCATACTGTTCGAAAATTGGCCTACGACAATTCGTCGGCGTTTTCACAGCACCCCTGAATCGGTACTGAACTTCTGGTTTAAAATTGTTCCTAGAAATCGGAACAGAAGTCCTGCCTAGCAGAGATTCCTTCGTATAGGAGGATACACCGGATCTCAGCTTACTGTCAGATTTAATGCCACCTGATTCAGGTTATTTGCGAAACACTAGAATCAGTTCTAAAACAGTTTGCACAAACGCAATGCGATTCTTTTATTATTTGTTACAAAACGTAACAGCTTTTTATTCTCGAGGTAGTAGTTTAGACGCTTGATTTTTTAAGAGTGATAGCTGTTTATACTTTTCTTTATTCGAAGCACGTTAAGCAGCAGAGTAATGGGAGATGATAAAAGAGGCAGCATTCGGCGGATTCCGGACTTCAGAAACCGCTATCGAAGCATTCCTTAGGGACCGCAGGGTGGTGACAGCACGATGCGACACGAATAATGCGCATATGACTGATGAGAGCCAAAATCCCCGAAGGCACTAAGAAACTACCGTAGTCTGATATCCCATTAAAACTCGTATGAAGCTCGGATTCTTCCTGTAGAAGCAACGATGCTTTTTTTCATTTTCATTATAGTTGACCCGTAAGCTATTAAGTGAAAGAAGAACCAATTTTTCATACTAAAATGTGGTTTGCAAACCTGCGAACTATCGTTTTTTTGAAAATATATTGCATTTTTATATAAAATTTTTCCATTCGCTAACATAAAAGTTCATTAGTCGAACAAGAACTAATGGAACGATTGGGGAGGAATGAATGACTTTGTCAGTTTTGTGTCCACATGGCCCCACTAAATCACTAAAATTTCCAATACTGCAATCATCCATGGGAAATAAACTCATATGTTTAGAAAAGAGCAATGATGTCTCTGTCTGTTAACCCTCATGAGCTATTTTATAGAACGGAACTTATTCTATTGGGTACACCGTCACGCATACACCCACACAGTCAAACACTCGAATATACACAAGTACACACGCATGTTACCACAATGATGGTAAAGTATTTGCAAAATTCAGACCTCACGCCAGATTCGAACTCGCGGTTGCTCTTTCCTGGGACTCACGCGTTACCCACTGCACCACTGAGGCTCTCTTTCTGTCCTTCTATTAGCCAGTTTTTTACGTAGCGATGCCATCAGCAGTCACTCGACAACGGGAATAATCTGCAGATCAAAAATTAGTATTTATCCAGGTAAGCTGAGGCTTAAGTCGAAATCGCACGTGTAACTTTTTCGCATAAGAAAGTGGAACGAGGTCCTCAGTGGTGTACTGGGTAATACGTGTACCCCCGTAAAGAGTAACTGCAAGTTCGAATTTAGGTGGGGTCTGAGTTCTGCAAATATCTAAGCATCACTAGG